CTCACACCTCACTGGCGCTCATTTCACATAGATGGCAAGTCAAGTGCAAGTAAAACACACACACACACACACACACACACACACACACACCAGAGGGGCATATAATACCTCAAATCACACATGCTAAGATAAGCACTCGTGTCATAATATGGACACACTCAGGCGGGTGCACACATTGTCTTTCTTCTGGACCAACCAAGTGTGTGATGATCAGTCGGAAGGCTGGAAGAGGTGATGCGGCGTGTGCGTGCGTGCGTGCGTGCGTGCGTGCGCGTGTGGTATGGTGGGCTGAGGGCGGCACCGACTCACTTTCGTTGATCGAGGCTCAAGGAGCAAATCTTATTCACGAGAGGCCTTTTGGAGTTGATTTCGCAACACGTTGTCCGCGGCAGTCCCAAATTTGCAGGCCGCGTCCGCCAAAAGCCGCGTTTTGGCCGAGTGACGTCACTTGTCGCGTGACTCGACCGCACGTGCTTTCCGCATTCTTGAAAGACGGTTTTGCAGGCTGGCTCCTCTTCCCGCAGCTTGCGAGGACCGCACAAACCGTGGCGAATTTTGACGGCCTGAATGTGCACCTGGACACCACGTGCGGTCGGGTTGTGGCGGCTTTCCGGCGACCCGGCCTGTGAATTTGGACACCGCCCGTCTGTTTGTTTTTCCATCTGTCAATGCCCACGTAGCTTCTACTTGTCTGCTTGGCTCTTTGCTGTCATCCATCCGTCCATCCATGAAATCAAATCCGATTGTTGATGTGATATTCTTCACTGAGCAGTGTAGTCACTTGGTCCACACAAAAATGGCCGGCGCGTGAATCGTGAAAATCCAGATGTCTCGCTGACGCTCATCGAAATGGATCGGAAAAGCAGGAGTATTTTCGTCGTCCGCGGCGGTCGTGAAGCCGTGTTTATCGTTTTTACTTCCGCACCCGTCAAATGTTTGGAATTTTTTGCCGTCACTTTGTTGATGATTATTCATTGAAGCGCCATTCTGAGTGCAGGCGCGGGAAAAATGCAGCCCGCGGGCCGACCGTTTGAATTGTCCGTTGAAACAAGCTTAGCATACCGCACGCGTCCATCATCGCGCTTGATTTTTTTTTCCCCTTTTCTTCATATTTCACCTTTTTCTCCAATTCTTCTCTTCGGCATGAAGAGAATCCTCTCCCGGCAGTCTTTTAGCTTCCGGCAAAGGCAGCAACCGTTTGGCTGTGTAAACGCAGCATGATCGGCTGCATTATTTAGGGAAAACTTTTGACGACGGATGCGCTCTTTTCTCTTGCACATTTTGCCCACTAGTATAGTTCTCTGCTAGACGAGCGCACACACACACACACACACACACACACACACACACACACACAAAGCTGCACGCAGACAGGCCATCCCAGTGCAGTGCCATTAAACAAAGTAAACAGAGCTTCAAATCCCGCGCGGCCGCCTCGCTGATGCTACGAGATATTACCGTCAGCAAATCAGGTCGCATCTGACTCAAGTCGGGCCTGGCAGCTGCGGCGGGTGCTCGGACGAGCTAGCGCGCCGCTCGCCCGTTGTCCTCCATGCTGAGGGATGACAGACGGCGCGCACTTGGGACCATTGAGTTCATTAGGGAGTCCGCGATGCACGCTTTGGACATGAGCGGTCGTCTTTGAGTTGGCAAGAAGCCTTCATGTGGCCCCTGCTGGAAATTTATCGACGGTGCCTTCATATGTCACCAAAAAAAAAAAAAAGTCAAAAGAAACGTTTCACTCGAACATCTTGATGGCTGACAATTGTATTTCGACTCGGGCACAGATGAAAATGAAATGTGCAAGTAAGTCGCGAATCTTCCAATGTTCAAGAAGTTGGCGATGGTACGGTCTGAACATTGGGCAAAAGGCGCGTGCGAAACACAATTGCAAGTCACAGTTGAGTGGAACAATGCAGACCGACTGAGGTCCTGAACTCTGCGAATTTAGGTTGTCTTCTTCGTATCACATGGACACGTTCGATTGGGTAGAATGGGTTCAAATTGTTTTCAATGTGCCAAAATATGTACGCTGAAATGTTCATTGGACCTTTTCCAAACTTTTTGTTGTTCACAAAAGAGAGGTAAGGTGGGGCCAGGCCATTTCAAGATTGGAAAACCGATTCTAGGATCTTCAAAAAAAAATGTCGAGGCAGCCAGCGAAGGAATGCCAGAGTAGGAGTTACTGTATGTGCTCCCTCGTACGAGTACCAGTGAAGAAGCCAGCAGCGGCATTCTGGAGCAACTGGAGACGCCTGACGGAGGATTGGCTGACTCCAAAGTAAGCTTTTACAAAGCTTGCTGCTGAGTGATCACTTGAAGAGGGTGGGAAACAACTGAACCAGGCCGGACCGGCCGGGTACTCTCCAGGACGGGACTCGGGCAACCCTGCTTGAAAGTGCCTGGGTTGTTTACTAAAACCAGCTCAGGTTCCTTGAATCGTGTCACTTGTTTTCTATTTTTCCAGGGGGAAAAAATGGAAATTGCAGACGGTGGAAAGAGGATCACGGTCACATGCAACGTGACGATACCTGAAAAATGCCTCGTGTGACTTAATTCAGAAACGTGATCACATCGCTCCTGTCAGAGAAACAAGACGTGGCCGTCGAAGGTGCGTTGCGTCGACATTTGTCCTCTCGTCGACCTTGTACGTGACACATTGGATTAAGCCCTCCTCACATGTCTGTCTTTTTTTTTTTTTTTTTTTACTTTTAGCAGCAGTCTTTGAAGACCCCAGGCATCCAGACTGGTTCAGGTAATCGTGGCCCGTCCTCAGGGCGCGTCCGGACAGCCACAACCCAACCTAGCCATTAATAGTTGTTCACATCGGCGGGACCTATTCCTAAATTGGCTAAGAGGGGATTCCCGCAGTCCCGAATCCCATCCGGCTGGAGCCATAATGACTTGTTCTCCAAAGTGCAGAATTTTACTTGCGGATTGGCATTTAAAGGATTAGCTCGCTTGCATTCCTGCGTAATTAGACACCACAGCCGTCAGTCAAGCAGAAGCCAGAAGCGGATTGGCCGACGTGTCAAACGAGCTGCGTTTCTCGGGGGGCGAACGTCCCCGCCGGCCATTGTGCCTTTGAATCGGGAGGAAGCCGCTCGCTCAAGCGGAGGGAAGCAAAGCTCGTCGCGAGGAGCCGCAGACGTCAACGGCGAGGAGGCTAAAGCCAAAAGGTTGTCGCGCAGCGAGGACTCGGAGTGGGGGGGGGGGGGGGGGGGGGGGGGTGGAAAAGCCAAATGGGGGTTGTCTGATCTGGATCACGTCGTCAGCGTTGATGAATGATAGATGAGAAGAGCATTACCAGCCCACTGCTGCGGCCTAAAAAAACAAAAAAACAACCCACAGTCATCTATCTACTTCGCCCCAGAACCCCGTCCGACACGTTAGCCAAACGCAACCGTGATTTTCGTCACATCCGAGCCTCTCTTTGTCCTTGAAAAAAACAGCAAATTCGCTTGCCACTCATTCAAGTAAGGCAGTCAATCGAGCCCTGAGTGAAGCACTCGTTATTTTTCTTCCGAGAAGGAAATGAGCTCCGATAACTTTTGAGTGGGAAATGCTGAGACGTATTTGAAACTTTTGTGACAAGGTGTGGAATTACTCTGTCGCCACACAGAGACCATTATCCACCCTGGCAACGGCGCTGAAATCCGACGGCTTTTACGAATTCACCGAGTCGACCGCTGTGATTTTTTTTTTGCGCCGTGACATTTAAAGCGGAGATTGAGACCGTCAACGCTAATGGAAGCTTCAAAAAAGGCACGCGCAGGCCGCATTCCGAGAAAGAAAAACGCTGCCAGATAAAATCGTTGCACACTCCAAACCGGCGCGCACCCAAAAGGAAATGAAACCAGAGCTACTTCTTGGCCCCCCGCTTCGTGCGACTTGGGAGAGGGCACGTTTGCTCCAAATTCGATCGATCGGATATGATCGGTCACCGCGCATGCTTTGTACCGACGTGAAGACGCTGCTCGTGTTCATCATTTCCCCCACCAATCAACGGTGATTGAGCAAGGTCGGAAACATGGAAACGTCAACCTGCGACAATTTGAGGTCAAGTCAGAAGGGAACAACGGGCACAACAACAGCCGTGGCGGCAGCACTAATAGTCTGTTCTTGCTCAATCCTTGTTTCCATGTTCACGGGGGGCTTTTCTCCAACTTTCGGCAAGGCCACCCGTGAGAAAGGCTCCTTTTCTCTTCTGCAAGGTGAACAACTCCGAACACGTCGCAACTTAAGTCGTCAACGCCGTCACCTCGAAGCCAAAAGGTAAGCGGAGCTGCATTGAGCTTTGTCGGATGCACGCTGTCACTGTAAAAACGAGGCACGATGCCAAACGTTCCGCGGCGATCCATGTTCAACGTACGTAAACACGGTGGCTGGCGCTTACGCCGCCTGGAATTAGATCAAACGGAAGCGAACATCGATTGAAGCATTTTCGGACCCAGTTGCCCTACGCACAAATTTGAAAGGCTCACCGGGAGGCTTTGGCCTCAAAAGTCCGCCGGCAGCTGCCGCGGACGTATCGCGTCGACGAGTCGAGCCGGTTTCGCGCCTTCAAACGCTCTCGATCGTTTCACCGAATGCACGATGAAGCCCAAAAAGTTTGGGTGTCAAGCCAATGGCGTCTGCGTCCTCCCTCCAGCCGTGCCTGACATTCTCCTCCGAGGCGGTAATTGCCGCACGGTGCAGAGTGAGCGGCGGAGGGGCGGCCAGAGAGAAAAGATCAGCGATTGAATAACAGCGGCGAGATGGCAATGAGTCACGACGACGCCCATTGTTATGTTCGACCCGCAAAAGGTCGTTAAGATACGGCGGCATTAAGATCGGCCTGACGAGAGCGCGAATACGCAGGCGGGGGTGGAAATTAAGTGTGCATAAGGGCTTTTTTTTTTTTTCCTTGTCTTTTTTTTTTCCTCGCTTCGCTTCTCTCTTTCCCCACCAATCTGGCCGTGAAATCTACTCTTGCCACCAGTAATTACAAGGAACAACTTCATCTGGCTGCAGCCCAGATAAGGCCGTCCCCGAGATCTTTATCGCCGTCATCACAGGACAAACGCCTCCTGCCCAATTCGGCCCTAATCTCCTGCGTAAACAATACCGATATTTCACCGCTGCCGAGGAGGAAGAGGGGCAGGAGGAAGGTTTGAGTTAACGACGACGACGACGACACCGGCAAAGATGGAGCTCCAAAGTGATAGCATCGCTCCCCGATGGAGCCCGCATGCGTAATGATGTTCCGTGAGCCCCGCCTTTTCGAGTTATTCTTTTCATCAAAGCCTCATTTTGCTCCGTGCATCGGTCGCATGAGGCGATCTCTGCACGAGGTGACTGTGAAATCCAAAGCGAGGCCCGCGCGTTCATCGACATGCCCGCTTTTTCGTAATTTGGCGCCTTGGAAGTTATTGCGTATGTCGTAGGGCTGCGTAGGCATCGGCGGTGACTCAAATTGTCTTGTGAATTAAAAACCAAGGCCGAATCGGAATTTTCAGATTCAAGTCAGAACAGGTCACGGCACGTAGGCCAAAGCTACCGACGCGCGACCTTCCAGCAGACCCTCAGAAGTAGTTCCGTGTGTATTTGTTCTACAGCAGAGGTGCCCAACCGATTTGGACCCAAGATCTACTCTTCAAGCAACCCGCCTCCCCTGACCGCACGTGCACGCATGCCTCGATGCGCGACAGCCACGACGGCCCCTAACGTGACCGAAACAGAAAAATAGATCCAAGAGTTCGTGAAAAGGAAAACCATTGCCCACCTTCGTCGAGACTTGACGTGCACTTTTTGCGTGAAAGCGGAACTGATAGGATGCCACTTGGGACCAGTCGGCGGGCTACCGGTCGATCGGGTATTGGGCACCCCTCTCTGTTCTACGCCAACTTGAGCCTCATATGGCCCCGAGTCTGATTCGTGGCTAATAGGGGAGCTTCAGTCAAAAGCTGCTACCTTAGTGGAAAAACATTAGACAATATGACATTAATAGATGGAGAGAAAAAAAAAAAGTATTTGCGATAAGTAACCTCTCTGCCGCGGCCCGGTGGCCCAGCGGTTAGCGCGTCGACCTCACAGAATAGATGGAGAGAAAAAAAAAAGTATTTGCGATGAGTAACCTCTCTGCCGCGGCCCGGTGGTCCAGTGGTTAGCGCGTCGACCTCACAGTGCGGAGGTCGTGGTCGGTCCCGGCCGCGGCCTTCCTGTGTGGAGTTTGCTTGTTCTCCCCTTGTGAGGATAAAGCGGATCGGAAAATGGATGGATGGATGGAACCTCTCTGCCATTGTTGGCCTTGCAACCTCGTGTCTCAGTATTTACATTCATACAGTGTAGACCGCAGTATTTACATTATGCATTGCATTGTCGTCGCACCATGTCCGTGGAGGGGGGGGGGGCAATCTTCCTCTTTCCTATTCAATTGTGAATCACCCCCCCCCCCCCCGGGGGGGGCCGCGGGCTCCGTGGGGGGCCGCAGGCTCCGGACTGGGTTGAGGAGGATGAGACATGACCGTTGATTTAATCACTTGTACCTCTTCAGCGCAGGTTAGCGAGGCACACGCCGCCGCGCGTTCTCGCCACTGTCACCTTAAACGCCGGCCACTCGTGTGCGGAGTGGCTAAATGAGCCCGGACATTTCTATTGTCATCACAACACAAACGGCAGTGCTGAGGCCATCTGTTTCCAGGGGGAAAGTGTCCAATAAGCAGCTTGGCAGCCATTTGCTCTTTTGATTTGACCCGACTTTCTCTCGCGCGTTGACTACCAGGCCTTGATGATGTCGTCCGTCGTGGCGAGCACAAAAACAAGAAACCCGGCTATTTTCCCATATCGGAGGGGACAATTATTTCTTACACACAGAAAATTTTTGGGGGGGGAGGGGGGGAGACTGAAATAAATAAGTGAGTGACAATGAACCTGTTGCCGTATTCCCGTTTTTGCATGACTTGGCCACCAGGGGGCAGTATGACTTGAAGGACTACCCTTTCAAATGGTCCCAGGTACCGCCGTGACTGTCGATGCTCTTTGTTAGCCCGTTCATGGCGTTTTGCATCGTGCATTAGTCTTAAGCTGGTGGAAGGCAAGCTTTTGTGCTTGTTTTAAACACACAAAGGTGGAACTGTCTTTGTTTTTACGTTGCCTTTGACGGTAAACTGTTGTCGTTGTCGAAAAAACAAGTTACGCACACAGAATGGACTCCAAAATTCAAGTGTTTCCACATCCCCCGATTATGCGTGAAACGTGTATAAAAAACGACATTTGACGTGGGCCGCAAGGTTCGCTAAAAAGGTGAAGGTGGGCAGAGTGAGAAGGGAGGGTGCCATAACCACGAATACGTGCTCTTACATCCTGCTGAACTTTTCTCTATGTTCCAAGATCCCACAAAAAAGAATACAATTGAGCTTCAAATCACCATTGTGAATAAACATGATTCCATTTTCGAGAGTTTCGTTCGCTTTGTGCTCTGTTGCTGATGGATTGATGAAGACATCACACGAATGATCCTCAAGTCACTCTTTGAGAAATACTCACTTTACTACGGTTGGTTCTTTTTGGGAGGTTCTGAATGTGGAGATGGGAGGTGGCCAACAGCCCTGTCGATCTCGCAGCGTCGATCCGGCTCTGCCCTGAACAGCGGCCGAATCTCCACATTCACAAAAAAAAAAAAAACGTCCGAAGGTGGCCGTTTTTCAAACAGTGACTTGAGAATCATTCACGTCTTCGTGAATCATCCAAAAAGTGGAAGAAATTATTGTTTGCCTCTAAAATGGAATGATCTTGATTCACGACAGTGTTTTGTCCTTTAATCATTTATTTGTATCTTCGATATCGAGAAAAGTCCTGCAGTCCACCCTCCCTTCGCCCTCAGCCCACCTTCACCTGTTTTAACTGTTTCAAATTTTTTAAAGTGGCCCTTTCGTCCTTCCATTTTTGTTTTTTTTGTTTTTTTATCTCTATGCGGAGAGAGAGTAAAAACGTTTGGACACCCCAGGTGTAGACAACGTGAAATTAGATATGAGCCCGAGATGATAAATTCAATTTCCACAAATGGAATGGGGAGGGGGGGTGGCGGGGGCGAGAGAAAAATCCGTGACGACGCCACTGTGGTCTTATCTGGAAGGGACTAAAGTGCTGAGTGCGCAAAGTGAGAATTGTCTTCATGTCTGGATTGTGTTCGATACGAAATGAGACTTTGGTCAGGGCACATCAAAGGGGGATTTTTCTATTCAAATGTGACATCCCCTTGGATTGGACTCCAAAAAAAAAAAGAGAGAGATTACATTTGAGACCGTGTGAAGTTTGATGTAAATAAACATAGAGAAGCGTGTTTTGCTCGCCGAGTAATGCGCGCGTCACGTGATAAGCGTTTAAGCCTGCTGCGTGTTCTTTGTTCCGTTGAAACATCAAAACAGGCTGACAACATGACCGGCTTACTGGCCGTCCCTCGAGGGATAAATGCTCGCCGCGTCAACAGCGTGGCCGCTAGACGCTTGCTTAGGTACACTTGCGGCCGGTTTGCGAGCCGGCCCTCGTGGGCGACCGGGTGTGGATTGCGTGCGGCCAAAAAAACGCTCCGACGAGACGTTTTCCGACAAAGGAGCGGCCGACTCGCTCTTTTGTGAATTGACGAGGGGATGACGAAGGAGTCGCTTTGGCCCGTGATTTCACAGCTGACGTGGTGTCTTGGTCGGTGACTGAGGCAGACAGACGAGGCCGCCCGTGTCCTGCGGATGTGTCACGGTTCCGGGACAAAAGCACCTCGGCGCCATGACTCATCTGCGCTCGGCTGGCTGTCCCGGCTGACTCGGGCTTTCCTGTCCATCCTACTTCAGACGTGACTCAGTGGGCGCTGAGGCGAGCTGTGATTGGAATGGAGACGAGTCGCGCAAATGGGGGAGGTGGACGCAGGGAGGGCTCGGCCGTCCGCCGTCAGCGCTGTGACAGTGAAGACTCGCGTCTACGATACGAAGGGGCGGCCCACCCGGCACACAAACACTCACCTTGTCTGGGCCGGTGAGCATCAGTGACGGAAAGTAGCCATCCATCCGGCCATTACGGAATCCGTTTCTCCTCGCGAGGGTCGCGGGGATGCCGGCGCCTATCTTGGGGCAGCAGGCGGGGTACGCCCCGGACCGGCTGCCGGCCCGCTCGCAGGGCTCACGTAGACCAACGACCGTTAGGCGCTCACGATCGCGCCTGGGGACGATTTCCGGCCGCTGCACCTTTTGGAATGTGGGAGGAAGCCAGAGTACCCGGAAAAAAACCCCACGCAGGCACGGGTAGAACATCCGCACGGGAAGGACGGTGCCGGAATCGAACCCCGCAGCTCCGCACGGTGAGGCGGACGTGCTAGCCAGTCGCCCATCGTGCCGCCTGCTGGGAAGTCAACACAAATACTTCATTCCTCAACAAAAAAACTCATCTGTACCAGGGGTTATTTATGATTGTTTTGGATTTATCCCGATCTATTTGATATGTATAAAAAATGCATTTCTTTTGAAGTCGATTAATTGACTTTTGTTTTTCCAGAGGCTTTGTTGGTTTTTGGAGTGCGTTCAGAAATGAATATGAGCGCAGCACGCTCAGCCCTCAAGACGACGACGACGAAATCGTAACAATGTGAAAGTTTTTCTTGATTTCAAACGGCTTCTCGGAACCAGGATGGCGTGCGGCATTGCAGCCCAAGGTCCAATCCCGGCGGCTTCATGTGCTTTTTGCTGCTGTAAATCCTCGTCCGTGGGAGCCCAACGCTAGTTGCCATGACGACCGTACTTTGTCTTCTAAATGGGAGATGTACAGGTGGAAATGCCCCCACCCCCGCCCGCCTCCCAAAAAGTCAAGCTCTCCTTCACACTGTGTTTCCGTGAACGGTCACGACAAAAACGTCATTCAAGTATTTGCCCGACCCTTGACCTTTGCACCCCAGTCGACCCGGTCCTCAAACTATGACTTCGTCTTCCCGGCTTGCATCTTTTTTTTTTTTTTTTTTTTTTTTGCAAAATTGGCAATAGTGAGCCCAAAACGTGCAACTGGTGATTAGCGGAGGAGATGCAAAAGCTGTCCAAATGTGCAGCCTGCTTCCAGAAGGCCAGACTCGTGCGTTCCCGAGCCAAACGGCAACGGAAGCCTTTGCTCGCTCGCCGTCTGCTCTTGACCGTCCTCGCGCAGTGATTCACATCGAGCCAGACGAGGCTGTCGAAGGCCAAGCTAATTAAAGTCGGCGTATTAAAAGTGCGCCGGGCTCTCATCCGGCACGGGAGGAAAAAGACATCAGTGATGATACCTTTCCTCCCCCCCCCCCCCTCGCTTCACTTATCCTCCACTCCCCTCAGCTTTCTGGGGAAAATTACAACCTGACTGCTCGCTTTAACCTCCTCGTGTCGCTTTCTTATCATTCACCCGATGCTTCAACTTTTACTGTGTGACAGCACAAGTGGGTTTGGAGGACGAGGGAGGGGGCGGCGGCGGCGGCGTAGGTAAAAACAAATCAGGCTCAAAGCCGAGCTATCAGCCCGTCTCTCCCTTTCCTCGGGAAACAAACACGACAACGAGCCCGCAATGAGCAGCGCCGGGTATCGCCGGGCCTTCGAATGATCTCATCCGTGGAGACGGACGCGCGCTCCGCGCCGAGGTGTGTGCGCGCTGAGACGCTCGCTCTCAAAATAAATCATAAAATCGCCCCCGTCAGACAAGTACGAATGCATCGATGGTCGCATTTAACGGCGCCGCGGTGTTTCGATAAGATAAGAAATCTTTTATTAGTCTCGCAATGGAGAAATTCCCAATTCACAGCAGCAAAGTTATGAAAGGAAGAAGTAGAAGAACAAAATCGAGGAAATGCTGGAAAGGCAGCCGCTCTCGCCGCGCCATCTTGAAGTCAGAATAACAAAATAAATACATGCGAGGAATAGCTCAAAAATCGAGATGCTTTGTCCTGTTGACAGTTGGAGAGCAGCCAAGATGAGGCTCTTTGGCCACGTATCAAAATGGAGACTTGGGGGGGGGGGGCAGATCATTTGTTTCTTCAAATGTCATCACCAAAACAGTGTAAGCGGCTCTCTCACCGAGCGATGAATGCTTGCCAACGTCGCGCATTTGAGGTTTTCGTCAGGATTCGGAAAAGGTGGCGAAAGCGCGCAAAGATCGTTTGCGTCGCGTCGCGTCGCGTGTTGACAGGCGTGATGATGACGCAGCTGGTCTGCGCCAGCCCCGCCTCCTTCTGTTTTCCTCTCTGCCATTTGATAGCCTCGTCGGCTTGCCCCTCTCTCGAAAGACGCCGCGTGGTCACGCCCCCCCCCCCCCCCC